TCTGCCTCCCATCCCCGCAGCGTTACGGAATGCCCCTGCCTGTGGGGTGCAAGTCTGCGGCCAAAGGGAGACTCCTGGCAGAGTTAAGTGGTGTCACCGCTTCGAGATAAAAGCGGACTTGTGTAGGCTGCTGTAGGTGACCCTGCTTCGGCAGGGGGGTTGGACTGGGTGACCCACAGAGGTCCCTTCCAACCCCGAACATTCTGTCTGATTCTGTGACTTGAGAAGAAACGCTTCCTGTCTTGCAAAAAAAAAGCCCCAAACAATCCCACGACGTGTTCATCGTTTGTATAGATTTCTGTCGCTGTTGTTAGTTGCCTCAACTGTGTTTAGAGACCAATTCTGGTGGGAACACGTGGCATGTAGATGTCTTGTTGTGGTTTACACTCACGGCCAAGGAAGGTCCCGTTGTGTCCGTGCCTTCCCGACTGAACAGTGCTCTGATTTGAGGCCACACCAGTTCCTTTCTAGAGCTGTGCTGTTGGCAGCTGGGGAGGTTGCTCCCGGCTGCCTGTGCCACCAGCAGTGCCTGGGTGCTACCAGACTGTGGTACTCGGGGCACGGAGACTGGGTCTCCTCCTTCAGAGGTGCCCTTGGGACGCCCCAACTTGAGAGAAGCAAGGAGGGCTGCGTGCCGGTCTCCCTTGCATCCACCCGAGGACAACTGGCACCGAGTGTGTGGGAGGAGGTATGGCTGAGATCTGAGAGAGGCTGTCTTCAGGCACAACATCTCCTCAGCTAGACCTGGAGGGCTGCAGGTCCTTGCCCTGCCCCAGGCTGTACCGTTAGGAGCCCGTGGTGACGGAGGTTCCTCATTCCTTTGCTGTTTTGTGGTGTAAAGATCTTGCATCTTCTCATGTGAAGGGGAGGGAGGAGTCAAAGATGTCCTGTTGCCCTGTCCAGGAGAAGGTATCTGTAGCGGCCAGCAGTGGAAGGTTAAAGGGACATGTAAATAAGCTGAATTTGAGTGATTCTCTTTTTATTATTACTTTTTAAAATAGCATCCGTGAGAAAGAAATCGACATAATTTGAGCAATTTCAGTGTTGAAAGATCACCATCAGAAGAAAATCAGAGTTGCCTATTCCAGGTCAGGAAGTTCTGATTTAAAAATTGCCCATGAAGCCTTAAATTTATCTTCAGACTACTGCTGACTTCAAAAAACAGTAAATGACCTTACAATTAAAGATTTTCTAAGAATATTGTTACACCTTTGTGATGCAGAACCTGTAAGCACCGTGCCCTGTCTTGTACATGACAAATCCCATCCGTGACAGCTGCGTATGTAAGACTCGATGCAACAAATGGGCAAAATTAAGCAGATAGAGCCCGATTGCAATTTACTGTAGATCTCTTTATGTCGCTCTATGAAGTATTTCGTGGTAGTTTAGTCCTGTTTTAAGGTAAGAGGCCCGTTACGGTGATGTAATAAGACTCTGAAATTGCGTGGCGTGCTGATCTGCTTGCATAGTTGATCTGAACTGCCTTGATAGGCCCGCGTTATGATATATTTAACCATCATGAATATGAACTTGTTTCATCTGTAGCCCCACTGAAATTAATTGGACTGTCTGCTGAGTACTGCTTGAGGAAACTGAAGATAGCAAAGTCTTTTTCCATAGTTCATTTTAACCAGGAACATGTGTGCTGAAAGGTGCAGAGAAGCTGGGTAGTGCTACAGAACCTACACTGCTGATGGATGATTTGTACCACGCCATTCCTGTGTTTCTGCTTCCTTCTTTGTGGTGGATTCCGTTTTATCTTGTTTCAGTTATTGTCATACCGATTTTGATTTTGTTTTTATGGTGACATTGTGTTAGGTATAGTTCTCCTGGAATTTCTCAGAGCTGTGGTGGTGGAGGGCTATTTGAAAACACAAAAACTCCTGGTGGCTCTATTAGTGTCTTGAAAGCTTGTCTCCAAGGCAATGTGTGCTCTTCTTTTTTTTTTTTCTTTTTCTTTTCTTTTTTTCTTTACCTTTGGTTACTAGTAATAACTAAACTGCTTCTAATCTTGTGTTATTTGGAAGTCTGTTTTCAGAGGTAGACGTTTCAGAAATGCTTGTGTCACTTGAGCACTTTGGTCCCACTGATTTTCTTTTTTTTCTTTGTTAATTATATTTTATTTTTCCTAATAGAACATAGACCTCTCTGGGGCCAGCCTTTCAAAGGTAATACAGTACCTAAAAATGCAGGCATCAACTGGGATTTTCCAGAGCTTGAGTGCAGCAAGGTATTTATCTCCTGCTAATTTTAGCAGATCGAAAATCCTGAAAGTTATCCCAGATGAATGCTGTCTGCTTCTCCAGGTTCCTAAATGCCTTTGAAATGAAATTCTACTTTCAAAGGTGACTTAGGAACAAAGTTCCTATGTGGCATTTAATATGTCTTTCCCT